TTCAGATTTGGATTTTAAATGCATTTATGCATTTTCACATTTTATGTCTCCTAGTATTTAAACTTTATATAAATATATGTGAACACAAACACACACACACACACACATTTGTATGTATGTATGTACTCGTATATGTATGCAAGAAGAACAACGAAGGGAAGTACAGGAAAACACACGAATATGTAGGCATATTCGTGTGTTTTCCTGTACTTCCCTTCGTTGTTCTTGCAATTTGTTTGACATGAATTCCATGTATGTATGTATGTATGTATGTATATGTATGTGTATGTATGCATATCTCTTGTAAATATCTTGGTAAATATTACATCTGTAGCAAATGTTACAAAACCTACAACCTCCTGATGTATTTCCAACAATGAGAATACGAGCGGCTACAACCCCCCCAAAAAAAAAAGAAAAAAAAAAAAAAAAAAAAAAAAAAAAAAAAAAAAAAAAAAAAAAAAATATATATATATATATATATATATATATATATATATATATATATATATATATATATATATATATATATATATGTGTAAAATAAAAAATAAAGCGAAAACACTTGAACAAGCCCTATCATATCTCCCCAATCCCTTCTCCTCCCTACCCCCTTCCATCCCATTCTCGCTCACTCCCTCTTATCCTCCCTTTCTCTTCCTTCCTCTCTCCCTCCCATCTTCCTTCCCTTCCTCTTCCCCTTCCCTCCCTCCACCCTCCTATCCTTCCTCTATCTTTCCCTCCCTCCCACTCCCCCTTCCCTTCTCCCCCCTTCCTCTCCCTCCCCTTCCCTCCCCCTTCTCCCCCTCCCCCCTTCCCTCTCCCCCTCTCCCTCCCCCCTTCCCTCACCTGCCTACACCCCGCAGACACGCCCGACGAAACAGACGCCGGAGGAACCTCAGCTCCGACCAGAAGGACCCCGCTTAGCAATGCCCTCGTCGACCGGGCATCACCGGGCGCCTGACGAAGGGCATTACCGGCATCTCGCACGATTTCCTCCGAGTAATCCGATTCCCGCCATTTACGAAGGGGGGGGGAGAAAGAGAGGTGGTGGAGGATTAAAGGATGAGGAAGGCGGAAGGAGACTGAAGTGTGTATGGGAAGGTGAGGGAGGGAGGGAGAGGGGGAGGGGGGAAGAGAGCGAGAAAGAGAAGAACGAAAATGGGAGAAAGAGAAATAGAAAGAGCGATAGAGAGAGAGAGAGAGAGAGAGAGAGAGAGAGAGAGAGAGAGAGAGAGAGAGAGGGAGAGAGAGAGGGAGAGAAAGAGAGAGATAAAGAGAGAGAGAAAGAAACAAAGAGAGAAAGAGAGAAAGAGAGAGAGAGAGAGAGAGAGAGGCAGAGAGAGGGAGGGAGGGGGGGGGAGAGAGAGAGAGAGAGAGAGAGAGAGAGAGAGAGAGAGAGAGAGAGAGAGAGAGAGAGGGAGAGGGAGAGAGAGAGAGAGAAGAGAGGGAGAGAGAGAGAGAGAGAGAGAGAGAGAGAGAGAGAGAGAGAGGGAGAGGGAGAGAGAGAAAGAGAGAGAATGAAAGAAAGAAAAAAGAAAGAGAAAGAAAGAAAGAAAGAGAGAGAAAGAAAAATAGAAATAGAAGAGAAAAAGGAAAAAAGAAAAAGAGAAAGGAAGAAAAATGAAAGAGAAAAAAGAGAAAGAGAGACAGAAAGAGAAACTCAGGAAAGGTGACATTCGGGCACCACACATTACACATGACTCTGTATTCACACCATAACCTCGTCTTGCCGCAGCCAGGGTCATCCCCCCCCCTCTATTAAAGCCTGGCGCGGGCAAGGCTGGGGGGGGGGGGCACGGCAGAAGTTGTGTTGCTTTTCCTAAAATTCGGGTCCTTAAACTATAGGTATTTTAACGTATTTTCCGTAAACACTTTGTTGCAATCTGATGCAATAATCACTAAATGGAGTGTACATATATGTATATGTATATACATATACACATATACATATACATACATACATTCATTCACACATACACACATATGTGTGTGTGTATGTGTGTGTGTACGCGTTTGTGTGTGTGTGTGTGTATACAAGCATCCCTCCTGACTTGCATCATCTCGTCCAACAATCTATTCACTGACATGTCTTTCATCTTACTTTCGCAAAAAACACACACTCCAGCATTCTACGTATCAATAACTCCATGCATTCTTGATCACTTCAAATACATAATTATTAGTCTACTTGTTTGATGAAAGCTATTTTCTTTCAAACAAACAATTTTATTTTTCAACCAAACAATTTTATCTTTTTACCAAGCAATTTTGTGTCTTTGAATCAAGTAATTTTCTTTCAAACAAGCAATTCTGTGCCTTTCAATCAAGTCATTTTCTTTCAACCAAGCAATTTTATCTTTTAAACAAGCAATTTTCTTTCAAACAAGCAATTTTGTGCCTTTCAATCAAGTCATTTTTTTTCAACCAAGCAATTTTATCTTTTAAACAAGCAATTTTCTTTCAAACAAGCAATTTTGTTTTTAAGTCAAACAATTCT